GTTACCTTCTGCTCTCCACCACAGTCTAAGAGCTTGCTTGAACCAAGGTTGGTAGGTTTCAGAGCCATTATCTCATTTCACTGGTGCCGAGGGAAGCTGCTAGCAGCCCCTGGATCAGACATTCAGTGGAAGGCCCATGTCACAGACTCAACCCGAAGGTTAATTTTCCCTCATTAGCATCTCCATAGTCTGCTTCTTGCAAGGGATCTCAGGTCCTTGCTGCTATTTTCTCCCTTCTCACTCTCTCTGACCAATTCACTCTCACTCGTGGTCTTCTCATCACAATCTTACATTCTGCTAGGTTCCTATTGAATCCGTAGACTGATTGCTGAAAACCCATTTCATCAATTTCCAACCAGTATGCCTATTTTTAATCCTAGAGCCCCTCTCCTCCATCTGTAACTCTCTGTCTTCCAAGCACCCCATTTACAAAGTGTTCTGCTTTATCCAAATTAGTTCAATTCCCCCCTTTTTCTTTCCTGTACCCCCTCATTCTTTCATTGAGTTCTAGCAAAAGCAAAAGATACAAAATGGCAAAGTTTGATGGGTTGGGGGAGACCATCCCAGCCATCTACAAAGAAGCTGGAGGTTTGTAATGACGGAAAAAATGTGACAAAGAAAAGAGAATTACATTTGTGGCTTAAGTGGGAGAATGTGTTTGTGTGTCTATATCTCCGTGTGTTTTTAAGATTTCTTTGAACTGCTTTTGTGCTGACCCAACAAAGGCATTTGCCGAAGCTAGTCACGGTGTAGGAACTTTGAGTTAACCTCTTATATCAAATGAATCTTTTCATTTAGAGACCAATAAATCTCAATCTCTAGCTACTTTTTGTAGACCCAGCTTGAGTTCAATGAGACAAAACTGGGGCTTATAATAAAGGCCAGATAAACTTTGCCAAAGTTGCATTTTCCCCCTCCATCCTTTTTCCACCAACCTGAAAAATTCCCCCATCCAACAAATTAAAGCTCAACGAATAAAAGTAGCAGCTCTTCCTCAGTGAGCAGGAGGTTGGGAATTTCTTTAGCATTTCACAGCAAGCCTTTTGACTGAAATGGTTTTCCAAACTCAGAGGCCAAAATGATTTATAGTTCTTCAACAAGTCATTATTTGGGTGTGCTTTTTAGGTGGGGCTGAGACAATCTAATAATCAATGTAAGATGGGTGGGTGGGGAGATTGGCTGTGACCAAAAGAAGAGTTAACACCAGAAACATGAAAGCCAGTCTGGTCTCCAGGGACTGAATTTGGGAAAGAGCCTGCACACGGCTGCTCCTGGGCCATAAAGAAATACATTGTTAACAACAAAACAGACAATGCCCTGAGCTCTGCCTGGATTCAGAGCTGAGCTACTTTCAAGATATTTTAGCAGCACTGTTCATTTTGATGGGCTTTCTGGGCCATTTGAAATTCAACCTTTAGCCAGCCTGCTCATGGAGTATGGTTACACAATTCATTTTCTGATTTACTACCCCTCCTCCTGTATTTTCTTTATTTCCTGATGGCCTCCCATGGGGTTAATCTTTTTTCCCTTTCTTTTATATTTTCCAGTTTTGTTCTCCCCACAAACAACTCAGTGTTTTTCCTGTTTCTACTGATCACTCATTTGCTTCCTTTCTTTCCTTCCTTCTTTAAGAGCCAAAGAAAAATAAAAAGAATGGGAAGGGGATTTCCAAATCGTTCTTTTCTAAGCATTATTAATTACTGTTACAAGGCAAGAGATTTTTAACCAATAACAAAGTTGTAAATTACCATACCACTGACTTTCAAATATTTCTCATTTGTCAGGTCTGATTGATTTGATTAATATTCCACTCTGAAATAATTTCAGCCGCACTTATAATCATCTACACTCATGAAGCAAAGAGCAGACTATCCCTGCTGTATGGGATCTGACCACTCTGCTTTTACTCTTAATGTGAAGTTTGGGGTTTTGTCCTGAGGCGGTGGTTCAGGGAAGGTATATGGGCAGTTAAGTTTCAGGGATGGAGTGGACTGGCATGTCTGTGTATGTTCAATTATTTACATGTAATCTTGAAAACTTTGTTCAGAAAACTAATTGTAATGAAAGAACAAAACGGCATCATTTCCTAGGTCTCCCGAACATTTTATTTTTAAAAACTGACTGACGATTCGAGGTTGAAGGAATTCTAAAACAATTCCTAAATCCAAGAAACTTATCAAAACCCTATTAATTCTTATCCTACAGGATGACATTTCTGATAAAGAGTGGGCCTACTCTCTGCTCAGACCTATGGACCTATGGGAGATTCGGGTTACTACTGGGGAAAAAGAGTGTGTGCCGGGCAAGAGGGTGGGAGGGGCTCAGCAGAAGACAGGGGCAGCCAGAAGACTCCACTTTTAGAAAAGGTGGTTAGAGTTTCCCAAGGTCCTTTTCCGTTCCATCATCATATCCAGAATGCAATTTTTGAAGCTATCCATCCCCGCTGCCTCCAATACCTCTCGAGTTTTAATCTTAATTATATTATTAAGTGAAGTACTGTGCTGTCAGGGCATTGAACATGATTTATGACGTCTGCCTATTAAGGGATCGATTGTGAATATCGCTACTATCATCTATCAATATTCTCAAGCCGGGGGTATTTCTCGCTCCATGGTTGTTATTTGTAATACCGAAATGATAGACTGCAGGCAACGACTATTTCTTCTTCAGAGGACTAGCTTTTCAGGCGCTGCAGAGAGTTCGTGTGGTGAACCAGGAGACTCCAGAGCTCCAACCACATCTCACACCCTCAGAGAGAGTTTAAAGGTTTTTTTGTTTTTGTTTTTGCTATTTTTGTTTTTTACTTTTGTTTTTTAATGTAAAAACCAGTGGATTCTCCTTTGGATCTAGTAGAAGAAAGCAAGCCAGAGTCGTTTTTAGGGAAAGGAGTAACCTCTGCAGGTCAATATCAGGGGGCGAGCATTTCTAGCTGCCAGGTGATTTGCAATCAGACTAGAAGGAAAAAATCCGGCAACCAGGCGCCGCTTCACAGGAAGATGGCTGGATGGGGGCTGCTGAGGGATTCTGGGGCTAGACTGTGTATTTCTGCAGCAGATGCCCGGTCGTACCTACGGCTGTGGATTCGGAGGTGACCAGTTTCTGGGATCAATTAAGACTAGCTGGCTGAGCCCCGCTGCATCGCCGCTTTCACCTGCTCCTGCTTCCTCTGCAAAGGTGGAGGCGGGTGCGAAAGACGTAGTGGCCAGGCCCAGAGGAGCCTGAACGCAGAGGCCTTTTGTCTCCAGACAGAGCGCAGCGCCTGCTTTTTTCCACTCTCACGGGGCACGGCGCTGGGTCACTGGCGAGTCTCAGCCTCCTGCATTAGGGGGATGGGAGGAAGAGTCGGAGAATGGAGCCAAACTGCCGCTCTGACGGCCTGGAGCTGGAAGCTGGAACACCCCAGCGGGGTGGGGCGTGGAGAGCGGCCTAAGTGCCGCGCCTGGCCCCTGCCCTGGGTGCGCACCAGGCCGCGAACGCCGGGGGCCGCCTTCTGGGCTGCTGAAGCCCAGGAGCCAGTCAAGCGCCCTCTGGCACCGCGAGGGAGGCGCACCTCGCCTGGCGCAGCGTCGCTGCGACCTGGGCGGGAGAAGGCAAAGGGCGCCTGGCCCCGGGCTTGGCTGTGCGCTTGGCCTCGGCGCGCTGATCGCTCCCCACCTGCCCGAGCCTGGTCTCCGCGTCCCTCTCGGCTAAGTCTATGTTCCTTTAAGGACTTCAGCGCGAGGAAGAGCGAACAGGGCTAGAACCAGGTGACCTCCCTTCTGACCTGAAAGCCCGCAGAGTTGATAGCCACTGGGGACGGACTGGTGGTCAGGGGACGACTACGGGCAGGTAGGGAGGAGGACTGGGTCTGGCCCTTGGATGCCGGGAGCTCCCACCACCCCGGGAAAGGGAAGCAGAAACCTTGACTCCAGCCACACAAGGACACCTACCTGGCTGTCTGCCTGCTCTGGCCCAGCCACCCAGCTCGGAGGCCCACCCTTGGCCACAGTGGTTTGCCCTCAGACTTGGAAGCCCCAGAGACTTGCACATAGTAAGCGCTTAATAAATGTTAGGTGGCGACGTCAATCATTATTAGGCACATCCGATTTCCTCCAGGAGCATCTCCCCTCTCACACATTTATTCCAGGCCGGCAACTGCCTACCTAGCCAGGTCCTTAAGCACCACCACTCATACCCAGAGGCCCACCAGCTTCCTCTGCTCCCTTTGAGTCCTGGAGCTGCAGCCCTCCACCCCTGACATGCCAGAGGCCCCTAGAGTTCCCCCCTCAGGGTGTTTTTCAGGCATGGGCCACCTGAGCAGAAGACACAGAGGCCTGAAGAAGGGTAAGCAGGTCTCTGATATGCCTCACCCGGAACAGCACCAGAGGAGGGGAATTCCGGTTAAACAAGAAAATTCTGGACAAGAAGCTGATGGTTGGTCAGTTAAAGAGAGAGACAGAGAGAGAGAGAGAGAGAGAGAGAGAGAGAGAGAGAGAGAGAGAGAGAGAAGAGAGAGAGAGAGAGAGAGAGAGAGAGAGAGAGAGAGGGAATCCTTTAGTAAGAGATGGATGTGTGGGAAGAGTGGAGGGCACCAGGGTCAGGCTGATACAGAAGCAGCAATAGAGGCTGAGTCAGAGCATCGCAATGACAACTTTTTCTTTCAGAAAGAATTCTTTAGTTAAGCCCTTAATTGGCCTTCTGTGAGCAGTGAGTTGTGGGAGGTAGTGCCACTAAATACACATACAATGTCCATGTGATCAGATTTTTAATCATATATGAGCTTAATAAATAAATATGCTGTCTGCTAATTCTTTTTATTATCAACGATATGAATACTGTCTTGTTGTTGTTGTTTAAACTCGATTCTGGTACCGGCCAGTCCCGGGAGCAGCTGCAGGAGCCCAGGACTACTGTCACCTCCTGCGCTTCAGCTCAGACTTCAGCCTGTTCCTCTCCTCTTTCCTCTTCCCCAGATCCCCCAGGCTGATGGATATCCTTCGGTCGGGGCCCTTTTTAAAAATGACCAATGCCTTATCAATACAGACTTTCCATCCTCTCTTCGTTTCTAACCATTGTGCAGTGCGAAGAGAGACCCCGGCGCAGGCCAGGCGGCGCGTGTCACTCGGCCTGAATTGCACGGTAATCGCCAAAACCTTGGCCTAATTTGCAGCTAATGGATCTCGAGCGAGGCAGTCGGGAAGAAACCAGTGACTTTGGAGGGATCGGAAATTAAGGGACTGGAAAGAGGATGTGATTCATATCATTCTCCTCCTCCCCCTCCTGCACACAACCCTGTGTCTCCCGGCTGGGCCTTTGGGGACACGGCCCCTAGCTCTCCACGGCCTGTGCTCCTGTTGTTCGCTTCTCTCCCTGCGGACCACTGTGTCCAGGGCGCCCTTCCGTGTGCTCAGACCCCGCGCCCTCCGACCGGCTTCTTTCAGTCCCCGGGAGGAGGCGCTGGTGCCCGGGTCGGCCTCTGGTCCCTCCCAGCCGACTTCCTGGAGCCCCCATTCACAAAGCCCCTCTTGGAAGAGGCGACACACACACACACACACACACACACACACCGCACTACGAGAAGGGGAGTTTGATCTTGTCTCATTGGCGTCTCGGGTCTGAAAGGAAAATCGTTTGGGTAAACAGCCAAGCTTCCAGGCTTAACGCCCGGCTCCCGCCCCCGCCCCTCCATCCCCACCAGCTTCCCCCACTCCCCTTCAACCCCACCCGCCACCCACACTCGGCTCCGCAGCCAGGCCCCGAGCAAGCTCCGGGCCTCCAGGCGGGAGCCGAGGGCTCCCGGGGTTCAAAGGGCCGCAGCCCCGAGGGAACGCCCTTCTTGCCGTGCTCCTGGGGGCAGAAGCGGACTGCTGGGCGGTGGGACCGGCCTGGGCCACGGTAGGAACCGCGAAACCTCCCGCTTCCCTAAATAGAGCTGGTCTGGGGCGGCGGGCGGGGGGGCGCCGGGGAGTTCGGAGCCCAGAGGGCCATTTTCGCTAAGACCGATCGGAAGCCGAGCCTCGGCGGCTGGCTGCGCCTGGGGGTTCCACCACGGGTTCTATGGGGCACCCTGGGCCCCACCAGGCCGTCACAGGCGTTTGCACATTTGTGTGCATGATCACGGGCGGGGGCGTTGAGCCTCGGCTGGCCTCCTCGGGCCCGCACACCCATGGGTGATTACCCGGCCCCCACCTCCCTCCCAGCGACCTCGGCTCCAGGAAAAGACTTTAATCTGATATTAAGCGTTTTCCGAAGTTTCTTTCCAAAAGAGAGTTCTTCACTTAACTGGCTGTAAACATAATTAATAGTTATTAACGTGCAAAAAATCCTTTGTGGTGTTTAAAAGGATAATGGTCTCTCTAGCTCACACTCTTAAGCGTGGAGAGAACCTAGAATTTTGAAAATATCCTGATTAGATTATTAGAGCTGATTATACAGTGATTTTCCCCATTCTCTAATGAAATTCTTCTCTTTCCTCCCTTCCTCTGTCTCCTGTTCTCTCTTTTCCTTTTTCTCCCAGTCTCAATCTCGCTCTAATCCAGGAGTCATTAGCAGCACCCTCTGGCTACATGTTTTGCATGAGTGAAACATTGTGACATAGTTGTAATACAAACTCTGCCGCCTTGCAGTGCATCTTGCGGTGGGAAGTGTAATAGCAATAAAAATCATTTTTCATCTCCAGGCATTATTGGGTGGGGAAAGAAAAACCCAGAAAACCTGAATGTGAGAAGAAGAAGAGGTGAAGGAGAGAGAAATGAAGGGAGGGAAGAAGGGGGTGGAAGAGAGAAAGAAGCAAAACCTTTTCCAATTTAGAACACCATTTCCAAACTGTAGGAATGCACATTCACGCATGTCATTTTCTATGCTTTACTCTCCTCCGTTTTTGTCCCAGTTTCTCACTGCTGGCCCTCAGTGGGCCCCAGGATGCTCTTGGGAATTCCCTCTGAGCTCCCATTTTCTCCCATCAGCTGCCTTCTCTCCGGGTCAGCACCAACCCCCATGCCCAGGCCCCAAGACCCCCAGGGCTGGGGCCACCCTTCCTTAGCTGGCAGTTATTAGGGTTGCTCATTCAAGTCCTGCTAGGAAATTAGGTCCTCTCTCCTGTGTGGTCTCAAAGGAATCTTTCCTAGTCTGATGGAGAGGAGACAAGCCAGCCAGAAATCCAACCTGGCTATTTTCCTGGTGCAGCCATGTAATTTCTGAGCAAGATCTGAGAGCTCCTAATCAGCAAGGAGGAGCCCTGGTTACAGGGACAAGGGGCACTCACTCTGTCCCCTGTCTGCCCTTTGGAGGCTCGTCCTGCTAACTCAGGGGTCTGCCAAGTTTCAAGAAACGGTCTCTATGTTGAGATTACTCAGGCAGGGAAATACAGGGGCTTATACAATACCACACAAACTACCTCCACCCTATGGTCTCCAGGTCAGCTCTCACCGTTTGTAGGATCCACGGAGCTCCTTTCAAAAAAGGATATGAAATTTGTAATCAAAACTGCATTAGGTAAAAATCCCGTACCTCCCATCAAAACAAAGAAACCACAGAAATCCTCACTTGTCCATGAGAGAGGTGCTCCACTTCGAAAACCATGTTTGGCATGAAACATTTGTTTTAACTTACAACACCCATCTCCAGGACTGTGCACTTTGAAAACAAATGGAAGTAAAGACTCAACAAATAAGTGGGTTACATTTTCTGTATATTTTGTGGTCGTGTCGATATAAGATTGGGGCAAACCTGTTAAGTTGTCAACTGGATTGAATACTGTCAAGTGCCCAGTTGCACCTTGGAAAGAAAGGCTGTGTAATTTGCAATTCTTGCCAGTTGCTACTTTCACCTGTGGATAGGTGTACATGTTGGGGGCTACATTTTGTGGTCATTTAGTCAGCAACACCGAACACTGTGGGTATGATGTCTCAGCAGGCTGGCGACTGGCACTGCAGAGCCCTTCTAGTGCTGGACTGACCAGAATGAATGCATTCTGGTGTAAATCATAATTGAGAAGGGATAACTTTATAGGCACCGCCTCATGGGAGGTATCTGCATTGGCCTCAGCTGAATGACCCGAAATACACGGCGGCCGGAACTAGTGGCTTCCTAAAGCCCATGTCTCATTCATTTTATCGTTTCTAGGAAAGCAGCTCCCCAGCTTGAGTGACTCCTTTAGACGTGGTGAAATTATGCCTCTATATTTTTCTCCTCCTGTTACTTTCCCTTCATCCCAGTGCAGCCACTGTGGGATCTGTCGGTCGCAGATAATGGTTTTGAACCCGTCAGAAGGCCTGTGCGTTACGGCTTCTCTGAGGATTTCAATGAGGGAAAAAGTCCGGGTGACGTTCAAGTTAGGCTGCAGCAGGCTGGGAGGCTTGGCGGCGTCATTCCAGTTTCTGCAGCGAGGTGGCGCTCCAAGGTACGGCAGCGCTCCCGGGTTTTCGCCACCGAGCGCATCCGCCGCCGCGTCCCCGCAGCGAGGCAGCGGCCACCGAGCAACGTTAACAAGGGGTTCTTAAACCTTCGGCGATGAAAGTCGGGAGCGCTCAGACCTTCCTAGGCCGAGCGGTCAGCAGTGTGGGCGAAGGCCCGAGGGCACGACTGGGAAAGGCTGGAGCCGGCGGGGAACGCGGTGGTGGCGAGGCCGCGGCACCCTCCACGCCACCGCTCGCGGGGGAATCTTCGAAGTTCCCGGGCGGGGCCGACGCTGGGGCTGCGGGTCCCAGGCTCAGGGAGCCTCGCGCTGCAGTCAGCCTCTCCCCGAGCGCACCAAGCCAAGCGCCCAATCCACCGCAAGCTCAGACGCAGCTTAGGGTTTTATTGTTGTTTTATTTTTCAAAGAAAAAAAGAAAAGAAAAAAAAAATGCGTTCTATCGTTGTTCCCCAAACTAAAAAAGAAAAAGAAAATCACAGTTTTTGGTTTTTCCTTTCCTTTCTTCTTTTCTCTCACTTCCTTTTTCTTCCCTTCCCTTTCCTTTTATTTTCTGTAGGTTTTTTTTTTAATTCTTCCCTCTACCTTCGTTTATTTTTTCTGTACTTTCCCCCTATTTCTTAGAGCTGGTGTGTGTGTGTGTGTGTGTGTGTGTGTGTGTGTGAGAGAGAGAGAGAGAGAGAGAGAGAGAGAGAGAGAGAGAGAGAGAAAGTGAAAGTATTACCACCGGCTGGTAATACTAGAAGACTTGGACAAATGGCAGCAAAACTGGAGAAACTATTTCGATAGATTGAACCGACTCCAGTGCGTATGATTTCGTCTCCACGCTTCTGCTCTTTCTGGGTGTCTCACAAGCTCTGAGTCAAAGATGACTGGGAAAAATGGCTCTCACCCCACCACTCCTCATCTTCGGTTGTAGGGGCCCTTTAAAATCATTTTTGAAACAGGGATAGAAATAATAATAGTAATAGTCCCAATGAATAGCGTTTCCTTCTGGCATGAATTTTCTCATGGTTTTGCAGCTTGGTCAGCGGGACCCGAGGAATGCGGACGGGTGGCGCGGCTGCTAGGCTGGGGCCCTCCGGTCAGCAGCTGGTTCCACGGGAATCCCCTGACCCCTTTTGCTGTCCCCTTCTCTGTGGCCCTGGGTCTGGGGCCTGGGCCCTCGCAGCCGCCGGAAGGCAGCCGCTACACTTCTCCCTTGAGCCGAATTTCCGGCCACCTCACATTCCTTTAAGTTTTCTAGTATAAATGGAGGAATTTTCGGCCCAATTTAGAAGTCTGCAGAAACTCAAGGGTCAGGTCATTAGGAATGTTAACGCGGCCACCAAGAATTATAAACATGATCTGAAAGTCTCTTCCAATTCATTTCTTCAAGTATTTATTTGAGCTAAGTGATGAAAAGTGACAGTTGTGAAATAGACAGCTTTTAAAAGTAATGAAGTCAGATGAAGCTTTAACCTGTCGATTGCTATAAATCAGCTTTGAAAAAGAGGAATGAAGAATGTTATTGGAGCTCCCAACCGCCAGCATTTGCTGTGCGGGAAGTGGACCTGGAGTTGGCCAACGAGCACCCCCAGGAGAACGGACCCAGCAAGGCCCTGTCTCTGGAGTGTGGCCCTCAGGTGACATGCAGGCTTGGGGCCTGCAGTGCCCCAAAGGTGACATTTTGATGTGGGGGGGAGGAGGGCTCCATTTCCGCTCAGACTTTGCTCATGGGTTTGGCTCATGCAACGTGTCTGAGCAGGTGACTCCTGCCCTTGACAAAGTTGGGAATTCAGAGAAACTGTCACCCATGGGGCTGAACCTGGAAATATAGACCGGCACCCAGCCCAGCTCCCCGGCTGGCTGAGGGTGTCTACTTCCTTCTAGTCGGTTGGGGAAAGGCCAGGGCCTATATGACTCCCTAACTCTTATTAACCCTTTAGAAATGGTGGCAGCAGGGTGAGGAAGATGAGCAGACTCAATTTTCCCAGGGATGGGTGGGTTGGACCCGGGTTGAGTTATCTGTAACATTAAATGACTCTCTCTTGTGAGTGAAACCCAGGAAGGAGGGCTCCTGGGCTTCTGGGGGCTGAAGTCAGAATAAAGCAGGTGTCTGAAGTTCTTGGGGGGGAGGAGAGAAGGGTGGCATTCCCAACCTGCTCCCATCCAGAATGCCTTCTGAGAAACATGAACAGGTTGGGTGTTTTAAAGTAAACTTTATACCCTCTTTTGGAGATCTCAGTTCCCTGCAACTACAATTTCAAACATAGCCGGGCCTAGGGACCCTATCCTTTTAGCAGTGACTTCACCCCACTCTGTCCCTGTCTGCACTTCAAGCCTAAGGCGTGGAGAGTTCCCCGGGCCTCGCGCCCTTTTTGTCTGTTAGTCTCTTTCCCCCAAGACTCAGCGAGGTGGGGAGAGCACTGGTGTTCTTTGGAGAAATCAAGGTGTCCAACATTCTCCGAGGCGAGGCTGCTTGAGCTCCAGCAACAGGTCCTGCCGCTCGTTTTTCCCTGGCTCCTTCACTCCGCTCACTATCCAGTCTCATTTCTGGGGTCAAATGGGAAAGAAGAAATACTCCTCTACCCCTCTCTCCCTTGACTGTCCAAAGCAGCCCGAAGATGGCAAGGAGACTGTGCCTGGTCTTTGGGTAAATGCCCCGTCGGGTGGTTCCAGAAATGGCTTGTGACCTGCACTCCCCTCGGAGAAACTCCAGCTCGTGGCGGAAGACTCCCACTCAGAGGAGTCCTCTGAAGATGCGCCCCTGGAGAAAGTGCACCGCAGGGAAAGTGAAGAGAACCACGCCTTCCCCCGGGCGCTGGCCAGCGACTCCCCGGCCAGCGGGGCCGGTGGCTCCATTCGGCTCCACCCCGCCTAGTGACTTTCTGCGGCTTTGGCGGGGTGCGGAGAGGTGAAGCCGATCTCAGGCAGCGCCCCTCCCCTTGCAGGTCTGATTTCCCCTCTCTGGGGACATGGACGCAGGAAACTAGGCGCTCAATTCCGGTATAGGAGGCTCGGGCTCCCTTGGCGTCCAGCCCGCCCTTGGGGTTAGCTGGAGCTGAAACCTGCCGGCCTCGGGTGTCCTCAGCAGGCTGCCGGGCCACCTCCCTCCGCGCGTCCCGCTGGCGCCAGGGGTCCCCGCTCCCCAGGCTGGGGCAGCGAGGGCGTGGGGGTCTCCTGGAGCGGCCCGGGTGACGGCGGTAGGGGACCGGCCACTTCCATTTTCCAACCCCGAACACAGAAACTCAACGGAGGGGGCCGGTCGAGACTCCTCCTCCACTCCACCCCGAGGCAGCCCAGCTAGGCTAGCGGCGGGTCTCCGCCCGCCCGAGCGTTTCCATAAATCAGGCCGCTGGCAGGCTGCTAATTAGTTCGAGCCGAAAAGAATAGAAAGAGGGAGAGTTCCGTAGCGCACTGTGGGGTGGGGGTGGGGCTCAGTAGGTGGGAGATCAGAATTTCTCCAGGACCATTGGGGACTCCCTGGGGTACCTCAGCAACACCTCCGCCCAGGCCACCGCAGACCACCTCCCCCCAGCCTGGGCCTCCAAGCAGGGGCCTCGCGCTCACAAGCCTTCCGCACTGCGCGCACCCCCGCATTCGACCTGGCCCGCCCACCCACGCCGAGGCCCCTTCTCCCACTCACTGAGCAAGCCCGTCGTTAATTGACTCCCCTCCTTGCCCCCTGCAAGATCGAAAGACTTTCAAAACTCATCTCCAAGGGTTTCCTCTTTAAGCCTAAAGCTTGGAACCGCCGCCAGGCAAAGAGGGGAGCTGGGGCCGAGAGAAGAGTCGGTCACCTCTGGGCTTTGGGGCAACAAAACTTCCCCAACGATTGTGTAAGTTGTGGGATGCGAGGCAGCAACCCTATTCCTCCTCCGCCAGTGAAAGGCAAGACGGTCAATCAAGATTAGAAATAACATTAAAGTTGGATTATTGATTTCCATGTAAATTGCGAACGGAGAGACGTGGCGAGTCAGAGAGACTTCTGTTTATTTTCTCTTTTCCTCCCCCATCCATCTCCTAGCTCCGCGCCCCTCCCAGCCTTCCCGCCCTCAGCCGGGAAAGGACTCTGAGATGACATCACCACAGAGACCCGCGGCCTCCCCGCCCCCGGCCCCGGGACCCCGGAGCGGAGATTGACAGGTGTCGCTCGCGAGGACAATGCCTTCCAGGTGCCACCATCACAGTCCTGTCCTTCTTAACCCGCCCTCTTTGCCCCTTCCCTGCCCACTCTCATACCTCCCCCCTTTCTCCTCTGGGGGAAGTTCTCACATTCCCACTCTCAAACCCCAGCTCCTCGCATCTGGGCACAGGGCCCCAGGCCTAGAGATGCGGGCAGGGGGCCGGCACCGAGGGGCAGGGGTGGCGGAGGCTCCGCCTGCTGCCTGCCGTGGGCCGTTTCGAGGTGCCAGGAACGCCCGTAAAGGTCCCGGCGGTGGCAGCCCGGGAGTGGGCAAAGAGGGAACATGCGGGTATTTTAAAGGTACCAGCGCGGTCTCTGGACTTCCCTGTCTTCGCTCTCCACCCCCGCCCTCCCCTCCACAAACATAACAGACGCGAAGATAATCCTGCCATCTGGCAAATCCCAAATTTGGCGACCAAGCTCTGAAAGCAACAGCGACGGCTCATCCCGGCAGTAGGTGGCTGATCCTGCCGGACTCTCCGGAGCTGGGGCAAGGGTGGTGGGCTCTGCCCGTACCTGCCCCCACCTCTGCCCCATCCCTGCCCTGACCGGGTAGACTGTGGGTTTTTTCTCTCGCACTGGGCAGCAGTTCTGGGGGTCTGAAATGGGAGAGCTGAAAGTGTGGGGCTCCGGCCCCACTTCCCACCAGTGCTGCCTCAATGAGCTAAAACCCAAATTCGGTTTCATTATGGACAACCGAATGTAATTTATAGCTAGGCTGCCTGTCCGCGGCTATTTAGATCATTTGGTGATAAGGATCACAGTTATTAGATTTCTTCAAAGCCGATGGGTTTTTTTTTTTTCTTTTTTTTTTAAGGAGGGCATTTGTGCTAAATTGCCCAGTGCTGGTGTGATAACTGTCAAAAGTTTGACATCAAAGGAGCTAATATTATTCAGTTACCAGAGAAGCTGTCTGTCTAAATAAGAATATCTTAATTACTGCATCACAAAGGTAGAAAAGGGGTCGGAGCTGAAAAGGGGAGAGGCATTCAGCCGCTCCTTTTGATGCGCTATCTATATTAGACCGATGCGCCGCTCTTAATCAGGCCTAGTCCGATTTCCTTTCCTCTCCCGGCCGGTCCTCTGAACTTTATAACTATATGTAAACACGTTGTCAGTGGGGACATAATCTTCTCAGGTTCTTATTAGAAGAAATTTCCATCCTCTCCGGTTCTAGATTAGGCAGTGGAGTCCGCTCCATCAATGAAGGGACTAAGGTTTCGTGGACAATAACGTGGCAATTGTTGATGGTTTGTGACCCATAAAATGTGGAGGTGACTGTTCTGGCTTTGGTATGTAATTATGCAAAACACTTTCCATAAAGACTTGCCATTCGATCTAATGGCAGTCCCTGCGGTCTATTTCAAAAAGGGAGGGTCTATGTACAGAGAGAGAAAAGTAACATTTGTTTTAACACAGGTTTTATAGGGGGGATGCATAAATACAAACACATCACATCGCCGCCCAAAGTATTTTTTCGAGTCAAATTAAAATAATTATCAGGGGGTTTAATAAGTTAATCATAGCAACACGGCCCATCCAAACACACAGGGGAGGAGGGGTTCAGGCTTCAGCCCACCACCTCTCGACCTGGGACTGTGCTTGAGAGTGGCGAGTCACCTCTGGGTTCTGCAGGGGTGGAGTCGCCTCTGTCTCCACTCAGTCCACCTGGGTGCCCGGCTGGGATCCAAAGCCCCGATCTGGGGCTGAGGTTGGGGGAGGGGTGGGTGACAACTCGACTCCAAAGTCTTGTCCCTGGAATTATTTGGCATGGGGCATTTTAACAAAGCAGCCCTCTTTCAAGAAGCGCACCCCCCGCCCCAATCCTATTTCCCGCAAGGGCCCTCAAGCTCCCAGGATTTAGGTACCCACAGAAAGCCTAAGTCCTGAGACAGGAATGAGTCACTGATTCGGGTGAAATGTCTAAAACCGGCGCCCAGGCTCACAGGGCCAGCAGCGGGGCACATTCCAAACAACTAAAGCTGCCCCCAGCACTTTCTCAAGCCACCTGAGGGTTTGTTTTGTTTAAAAAAAAAAAAATTAAAAGTAGTAAGGAGAATTTAAAAGGCCTGAAGGAGAAAGGTGGAGTGATATGGGAGGGTCGTCACTGGCTTGGACCGAGCCCTGGCCTCTAGCTTAAAAAGCAAGTCTTTCTTTGGCATCCTACTGGCCCTTACCTTGCCTGGAGACGCGCCCCCACCCCGCACTCCCAGAACTGCTGTGCGTCGAGCTAGGAGTCTTCGCCATCAGCCGCACTGTGACGTTGCCGTGTGAGCCCCGCAGTCGCAGGCAACAGGGGATTTTTCAAGGGGGAAGTGATGATTAAAAGAGAGAATCATCTAAATATCAAAGTGACACATGCGGAGACCTGGAAGAAATGTTTAAGCTAATGAAAAGCAAATAAAGAAGCAGACACTTAGGCTGGGAAATTAAATATTATGTTTAAAATGATGCTTTTGTGCGGGCTTGAAGATTTCCGATTCATGTACACATAATAAACACTCAGGTTTGTCATCTGGAGGTGCAAATCTGAAAGATATTCCGACAAATGGAGTGCTGGCAGAGAGAGGAATAAAGAGATCGGTGCCTGTCAGGGGTCAGGCAGCCTGAGATTGCTTCTAGAGATCTTTTGAAAATTTCACACGATTGAAGGCTTAGGGGCTTCACTGCGTTCGCATTTCAAACTCAGATCAGTGGAATCACAATCAAAAATAGAGGTCTGAAAAATTTTGATGCAAAGATGGCCACGGGCTGCAGGGCTTCTCTCACTAGCTGGCTCTCTCTTTTTTTTTTTTCTTTCCAAGACAGACACCCTGACATGGCTGTGATCCTTTGGATGACAGAGTTGTCAGAAAAGAAGGAGAAAATTGCATCTTGTCTGGTAACTTCCTTTCAGTCAAAAGGAATTTAGAGTCTTATTTCCAATAAAAAAGAAAAAAGATGATTCATTTCTAGGAAGCATAGGATGCTCAAAAGAATCTCGGATTTCATAATTAATGATCTACTCCTCGACATTTAGGTGTGATTCACCTCTTCATTTATCCAGATTAAGATAATTTCTCACTCACTTTACACTCTGGCATTACAAAATTTGTCTCAATTTTCAACACTATCATTTGTATACACAGTCAGGTGTATGAACGTGATTACATGCATATGCACTTCAACATTTATGTGCACTCACAACTTTAACCCCCAGACCTGGACATTGGCCTGTTCGTCTGATCTTCTATGAGCGTTATTGCCCACCCCCCAAGATGTCAGCACTTTCCAGTTTGAACAGGACACAGAAAAATCAATTGTCTCTGTGATTGCTCTGGAGGGTGGGTTGGAAATAAGAGGACCTGGCCACTGGGATTCTATAAGACCAAATCAAACTAAGGAACTCTGGAATGGAAGCAGGCTGAGTAGATGTAGAGGAGCTGGCAAGACAGCCAGCGGACCAGCTGGAGAACACCTATTTGCTATTGGCCTGGCCAACTTTAGGGTGAGCAGAAAAAGGACCAATTTAGCATCAGTTTGTAGGTTGTATTTTTTACCTGACTGTTTTAGACAAATAAACAAGGTTTCTTAAAAAAAAAAAAAAACCAATCTGAATGATAGTAAGAGTTTCATTCACTTTCAAACCAACATGCACAGATGTTGGATTCCTGAAACCTCTCCTTAAGTGCATACCTTAGGGGATCTCTTTTGAGGAGAGACCCCTCAGTGAAGAAAGACGACACTTGTATTAAAAAATGTCTCCTGTTTCCCGAATTACATACTCAAATCGTTAATAATATGTGTTGTTTCCACACACGGTCAGTAGGGAAAAGTGTAATAGTTGCTCTAAGTGGATTTATAAGTTCAAAGCTTTTACTCTTCCAGCTTCTTCAGGCTGGGGCAGTCACTACAAACACCTAGGAATTGGAGGTAGATGTAGAACCCCAAAAACTGCTTGGCAGGCTGGGCGGGGCCCAGACAAATAGCTCTGGTATGCCAAGCCAGGGAGGAGAACTTGGCCCTGGCACCCTGAGTTTGGTGACTCCAGGAAGAGGGCTGGGGAGGTGGAGAGGAGTGTGGGTGCACCTCAAGTCTCACACTTAGAAACATCCCAGACACCCACAGTTGCAATTCTGGTGGAGAAATTCCCACTCTGGAGCTGTGGAGGAAAGCAGCCAATGTCAACTGGGCAGCCACGATCCTCAGATCGGCTTCTCCATCCCGCCATACCGTCCACAGTAAAGGAATAGACAGCAGGTTCTAAGTGTGACTTTAATGCACTTGAGCAGAGGTATAAACGAAGGATAGTCTTCTCTTCGATGAAGGGCCACCCACCGGGCGCTCAATTTCGCTTTTTCTAAGTCTCCACGAAAGACTGAGGCCCCTAACCGGGCTTTAAAAGCGGGGTTTTCTGCAGTGAATACGATGGGGCCCGTCCTAGTGTCGAGGAGATGCACTAGAAGAGAAAAACGGGCGGCAGGATGACCGCACGGGAGCAGGGACAGGTAGGAGGGGACCCTCGGCCGAATGGGGACTGTGCCGCCTCGGAGCCCGAGCCGCGAACTGGCCCCAGCAGGAAGGCCGCGCGGCCCGGCCCGGGTTCCCTGGGATGCACGCCCCTGCGGGCGTGCGGAGTGCCCGGGATGTCCCCTGAACTAGGCCGGAGAAGGATTCAGATCCCCTCTGGTGAATGTGGGAGGCCTTGGGATAACTCTTCGTGAGAATGCAGAACTGGCAGGAGACTCGGTTAAAACACACACACACACACACACACACACACACACACAACGAGCGGTCCTGAGGGCCTCCTACTTTCCCCACAAAACAGGGTTTTTCTCCAGCCAGGAAGGGCGGCGAGACCCAGGCAACTTGGACCCGGGTAGGGACCTGCGCGGGTTGTGTTTTCTGAAACTTCTTACGTAGGAACTCCAGGGGCGGGGACGAGGGCGGCAAACCCAGATCACAGGCTCTCGGCGACCTCCAGTTATAGTGATGGTCCGCTTTTCG